CTTGTACTGCATGACCAGAGTCTTGCAGTCCTCCTGCGGGTCATCGGCGCGGGAGAAGAGCATGCACTCGTCGCGGCGCGATTTCTCGTCCTTGCACACGCAGCATGGCTAGAATAATTCGACAACAATCGCTCGTTAGCCAGCGGACCAAAGGGTTCCATGGGTCTTGGAGAGAGCCGACAATTGATGATTGCAGTACCGCGCAAGGAGATGTGCTAGAGGAGACCCCCGGGGGGGGGGGGGGAGGGGGGAAGGTGTGTGGCAAAATACTATTCTGGGCCTTTTCGTTCTGTACCTTTACTTTCTCCGTCTTTTCCGCCGTCGACGACACTGGTTTGAGCTCGCAGGCGAGATTATCGAGTGTCGAAGGCTGCTGAGTTACCACTGCGGCAAAGCACATAGGTTAGCTTTTTGGTTCTTCTTCCCCCTGTCGTCCGCATGTTGACTCTCTGGTCTCTGCCTGTCTCCGTCTCCGTATAGTCGTAGATTTGAGGATGTGGGAAAGCATACGTACCTGCAGCGGGGTGTGCGGGCACAGGGGCAGGCGAAGAGAAGAACCAGCCCATCTTTTTCTCGACGCGCTGTGTAGGAGCTGTTCTGCAGAAGGGGAGCTCTGGCGTGCTGGGCATGGATGAGAAATACAAAACGCATTTCGGAGTACCGAGTATTTGGAGATCAGTCGACGTCAACTGCTATTCTGCTCGAGATAGTTCACCGTACAGCACTCAAGGTTACTCTGGCGGATCACAGGCATTTATCCCGCAGTAGGGGAATTTGCATCATTTGGCATTTCAAACTTTCCCAGCGTTTGCCTATTTCGCATTTCTCTGTCCTCCCTATCTAAAGCCTCGCCACCATGGCAACAGGTCTATTCGCCTCGTTGCCAAAACCGAAATATACCGGCGAACACGAAGAGGTGCCTCTCCACGCCCAACCGAGAGGTCCTCGAGTCGTCGGACCCGGCGTGATCGATGAATCCCAGATTGTTTTAAAGGTCAGTCATGATCTTCCACAAGCGCCTGCACCCTCAGTCTCCGTTGACATACTGACATCTGTCTTCTTCTGGCAGCGTCCCGGTCCACCTCCTTACGGCCAACGATCAGGATGGCGACCCCGCTCCGCAGAAGACTTCGGCGACGGCGGTGCGTTCCCCGAAATCCCCGTGGCGCAGTATCCGCTTGATATGGGTCGAAAGGGGACAGCATCCTCCTCGAATGCGCTCGCTATCCAAGTCGACGCTGAAGGGAAAGTGAAATACGACGCCATTGCGAGACAAGGCCACAGCGAGAACCGCATCATCCATTCCAGTTTCAAGGACTTGATCCCGCTGAGGCAGAGAGCCGATGCGGGCGATTTGAGTCTGGACCGGCCGACCGCAGAGGAGGCGCAAGCCACGGCCGAGAGGACCAAACTTGCGCTGGAGAAGTTGGTTTCCGGTGCTGTGGCTGCACAAAAGCCCAAGAATGTGAAGGGCGTGAATCGAGAAGAGCCGACTTACGTCCGATACACGCCTGCGAACCAGATGGGGGATAACTCGAAGAAGAACGATCGGATATTCAAGATTGTCAAGAGGCAGGAGGATCCTATGGAGCCGCCAAAATTCAAGCACAAAAAGATCCCTCGTGGACCACCATCTCCTCCGCCCCCGGTCATGCACTCACCGCCGCGGAAACTGACCGCAGAAGATCAAGAGGCGTGGAGGATCCCACCGCCAATCTCAAATTGGAAGAATCCAAAGGGATATACAGTTCCTCTGGATAAGCGATTGGCAGCAGATGGACGAGGATTACAAGATGTGACAATCAACGACAAATTCGCTCAGTTTGCGGAAGCTCTCTTTACGGCCGATCGGCATGCAAGAGAAGAAGTGAGGCTCCGAGCTCAGATGCAGCAGAAGTTGGCGGAGAAGGAGAAACTGGCGAAAGAAGAGCATTTGCGAGAGATGGCGAAGAAGGCGAGAGAAGAGAGGCAGCGTGCCGCAGAATTACGCACAAGGCGGTCACGGTCGCGATCTTACTCGGGCTCGTCATATGCTTCGCGAAGTGAGAGCGAAGACGAAGCCGCCCGAGAGCGAGAACAGGCCAGACGGGAGCGCAGACAAGAAAATGAACGGCAACTTCGCCAGTCAAGGATGGGTGCCGAAAAGAGAATCCAGATGATGGCGAGGGAACAGAATCGTGACATCTCGGAGAAAGTGGCCTTGGGATTGGCGAAACCGACGCAGAATAAAGAGACCATGTACGACTCGCGGTTATTCAATCAAACCTCCGGGTTTGACTCGGGATTCAATGAAGATCAGCATTACGATAAACCCCTCTTCGCGGCGCACGATGCAATTAATAGTATTTATCGCCCATCTGCTGGTAACCTGGATGAGGAAGAATATGGGGAAGAAGCAGCGGAGAGCGCAATGGGCAAAATTCAAAAATCCAACAGATTTGAGGTCTTGGGCAGGGCCAAGGAAGGTTTCAAGGGTGCTGATGTGGCGGAGCGAGAGGCTGGGCCTGTTCAATTTGAGAAAGACAAAGACGACCCTTTCGGAATCGACTCTCTAATTGGAGAGGCATCAGCCAGGGCGGGTGGAGAAGGCAAGAAGAGATATGGTCTTGAGCAGGCTGAAGACAGGGATCGGGAGGAGAGAGAACGGCAGAGGAAAAGGGCAAGAGTCGATGTTGACTAGAGATCACCGCCGGATGATGCTGGGCGTTTGCTTTGCGGGCTTGCAGCAACAGGACGTCAGCGTTGGGCAGGACGGGATCTCGAGCAGGAAAGTTCTGCTATCGGACGAAGAATGTCATTTATATTCCCGTCCTCATCCTTCCATCATTCCACCTGTGTGGAACTTGGTGTGTCCTTTTCCCTTTCCTCTTACACTTCCGGTGGTTTGTCCCCTTTTGTCCTATTGCCTTCCAAGATCCTCCGTTTCATCACTGTTATTACACTCACTTCTCAACGACCATAATCCCAAAATGCGGCCTCTCCTCGCATCCCTCCCAGTACTCGATTCCCACGCCGTAGTCCCGACGGCTCTCGTCCTCGTCCCGCGGCAACCTGACTTTCTCCCACTTTAACTCGCCGGTCATGCCGCCACATCGGGCAGCGTCCTCGTAGACGTGCCTGCGAAGGTGAAAGTTCTCGAACGAGATCTCGACTGGCTGCATGTGGGCCGTGATGCGGGTGTGGTAGCCCTCGCCTGAGGCGAGCGGCGGGTCCAGGTACGCGATGGAGACGCCGAAGCGGCGCATTTCGGCCTGCGCGGCGGGCGTGGCGTGGAAGGCCGCGAAGGAGTCCAGGTCCTCGGCCGGGTGTGGCGTGATGCCCACGAAGTGCCCGCCGGGACGCAGCGCGGAGGCCACGTTGGCGAACATGCCCGCCATGTCCTGCGTCGAGGGCGCGTAGTTTAGTAGCCAGGCGCCCAAGACCACGTCGAAGGGGCCCTCGCCCTCATCGGAGGAGGTGACAACGGCCGTGGGTAGCGGCTTCGTGGCGTCGCCGACGACGAACTTGAGTCGGCCTTGTTTCAACGCGTCAAGCTCTGCGGCCGCGCTCTCCGCCGCCTCCACCATGGTCGGCGAGATGTCGACGCCCACGACGTAGCGCGGCGCGGCCCATTGCAGGAGCAGACGTGAGTAGTAACCTGTGCCGCACGCAAGGTCGAGGACCGATGCGCCCTGGCCGTCCGGGAGGGTGAGGTAGGGCGCGATGGCGGCGCGGAGGTTATTGCGCTCGAGGATGGCGCCGGGGATTTTTTTCATCGACTCGTACGCCTGCCCGATGTGGTCGTATTGGGTTGCTGTGCTCTCTGACATGGTTTTCTTCTTTTTGGGTCGCCAGAGTGGATGGCTTTTTGGGGGGTTGCGGGATTGCTGGATATAGAGTATTACGTTGTAAGGTCAGACTTTCGTGATGGGCTTGTCGATGCCACGTTCTATGTAGTCAGAAACGAGACAAACAGCTACAGAGAGGGGAGGGTTGATAATGCATATATAAAACATTCCATGCCGTGAGCTATATACACAAAGTGTTGATGGATGGATATTTCAACATTCATATATTCATACCTTTTGGCCTTTTGTTCCCGTTTCCTCTTCTCTTCTCTTCAAAATGAGACGGAATACAATGAAATACAATGCAACGTTCCCATCTCCCGGAGAAAGTGGAAAACTGGTATGGACCTACTCTCGAACATCTCCTGATGCTAGAGAATGCGAATTGCCGTGTGTAGAGTCACCGTCACACGGACCTCCGATTAGTGTGCATAATACATACCACATAGTTCGGTCTAGATCTGCAGGCCGGTAAGCCGGACTAGTATTCCACAACTCTAGGCTTTCCATCCGCTGCGACATCAGGTGCTGTATAGAACATGCAAGAAGTACCACAGCATGCATCTTACATATACGACCATCTACAAGGGCCATTGCACATAAGACTTCCTCCAGCCAACCTAACTTGATCAGAACTTCCTAGCTACCCTTGTTTCCTCTCGTTCATTTAGACTGTCAGCCTCGTCCTTTGGCTGGCCAAAAATATCCCAGTACACCTTCAAGCGGTTTCACACCTCCATCATACACGGCCCCAATACACCGGTCATCGTCGAGATCCATCAATGTCATTCCAAAGTTTCCGCGAATGCATCGATGAGTTATGCCGTGCAGGGGCATAGCACCTTAAATCTTCGCTTTCGTTTGCCACTCGATCGCGACGATAAGGTAGCTCAACGCTATTTCTTTACAGTTCTTGTCGCAATGTTCTTTCCAAAAATTTTGAGACTCAATAGCCTCTCCGAACCACAGTTCCATGATCAAAATCCCAAGGCTGAGCAGCGCGTCAGAATGGTCTCGAAGTTTCTCTTCTCCTGCTAGGGTCTTAACCGAGCATTGTTCCTCTGTCGGCGCCGTTGGCGCAGTCTCGCAAACTACAAAGGGATGCTCGGTTATGATCTCGCCATTCTTACGCTGGAAGAAGTACACGTCCGTCTTGTCCCAACGTTTAGGGAGTCAAGGCGTGGGATACAACTCGAGAAAAGCATAAGACATGGTCAAGGCGATCGACAATCTGTCGTGTTTAGAAAGTTGCAGACCAATCTTTTTCCTCCCGACTTGTGCTGTCTTGCAGAGAACAGGCCCCAGGGTTATAACTCGGTCGACATCAACCGAAGTGAAGCGGAAGGATGGTAAGGTGTGGAAGACAAGGTACGCGCATTGGCCGTCCTCCAAATACCAAGACAGGCTTTCTCGCCTAAACTCTGGAGACTTTGGCAAATGTCGCTTATTGGAAGAGGCTTGCCCGGAATCGTGAGCCCCAGTAGATCGGAGTGCTTCCAATGCTGTGCGTTCTCTTGAAATGAGATCTTCCGACTGCGCAGGCCGGACGACAGTGTCGTCGACGTTGTCAGCACTGTGGTCGCACCTGTTGACAAACATGGGGTTGAATTCGACCCCGATTCATCGACGTTGTTGTAGGTGTCCAAATGTTCACCTTTGTTCTGCAAGGGGTCGCTCTCGCTTGAGGAGAATAACACTGTAGCGTCGGACGTGTATCACTTATCATTTTCGTACGGCAAGGTCCCGGATCTCGTCCACATGCCTGAGCGTAAGGAGAAGGACACCTTGGGCGTAGGGAAGCCGGACTTTAATTGATGGCTGACCTTGGACCGTCTGGCCAAAACCAACTTAAATGTGTGGTCATCCCTGCAGTCGCACGTCCAGCCTTTAGTGATGGCTTTGTGCAAACTTAAGGCTTGTTCCTCTGCCTGCTCCAAATATTGAGATATCGTTGAGCTACGTGATTGTCTCGCCGGCGCAAGTGCTTCAGCCTCGCCGAGAAGCTTGCCAATGCGGTCGATTTGTTTCCCCAGGTCAACAACTTGTTCTTGCTACCTCTTCTTGCGGAGAGAGAATTGGAGCTTGCGCCGCTGTTTTTGAAGTTGGAGGCCTTTGTGAGACGTCCCATCTGCTGATTCATCCTTTAATAGGGTCAGAGGGCATCGAGGTTGAAGTATACCGAGATCATTGACTTACTAACGGTTCACAACTCTTCAATTTTTCAGCCATCTTGTTTATATTCTCATGAACGGAATAGACAGAGAATTGGTAGTTCTCGAATTCGCCTTCGCCACAGAGCCTCCTCTTGAGCCTTGAGGCGAGTTCGGCGTTCTTCCATTGATCACACTGCAAGTCCTCCATCATCACCTTCGTCTCGAAATCCGAGTCGTTTATAGACAGCAGCCTGCATTCTATGTGCTGTCTGAAAAGAATCTATTCCCTGTTCGGCTGATTGACAAGGTGGTTAAACTCGCGTCGAAAAAGAACCCAGTCTCTGAGCGTTTCGCATCCTTCTTGGTAGTGCTCGAGCAGCCCGATGACTAGTGGAAATGCCCCAGCGCGAGGCTCACTATTTCGACCCCGGACATGATTGATCGCTTGCCTGAGGCTTCCGTGTGATGAAAGTTTGAGTGGAGCTTTGAATATTCCGACTTGTTCTCCTGGGCATCCGGTGTATGCTGGAAATCGAACCTCAGCAACAAGGAGCGGAATTTAATGCCTCAATTTCAACAAAGCCGACAGCCCATTTCCAGCACGAAATGCTGCACGGCTCCCCAAAGGTGATTTTACCCTACCGACCGTCATTACTCCGAGATGTAGCTGTCGACTTGAGAAGCTGTATAACCACACTGGGCGGTGTAACTGGCAGTTAAAAGAAGTTGGTGCTTTGAGGCGTTTCGGGCACAAACTGGTGTGGGCGTTCTGCAAATCAGCTTGCTCCAAACGTACAACCTCCATAAGATAACAACCCGCATTCACCTGAGCTAATGCAGTCGGCCAAAGAAAAGTTATTTTGTCCATGCAGCAACTTCGAGCCGTCACGGCTGATAGCCGTTCGAGTTGCAAAATAAAAATAAAACTAGGTCTCCTGACAGATGGAATTCCTAGCCTCATTCACCCCTTTTTTGGCCACATGTTTTCCAAGCCAAGACACTCCGCACATATTCATCAGTAGAGCCAATGCCTGTCGGCCTGAGAGCAGAGGCGATGAATGGGCTTTAATATCGAAGTAAAAGAGTCGAGGCCAACACGATGGCTGCTCATCTCGGGTCCATAGCCGTGGAAGCATCGAAAACCAGGCGTCGTCTGCAGGAACTATGTCTCGACATTGCGACAAGAGCACAGTCAGCTGGTCTCCCTGACCGCGTGGAAATTGACCCTCAGGACCTCACAGATTGTCTTGATCAATTCAATATCTGGGCAGGGAGCTTATGTGTATCTCAGCGAGGCGAAGCTTCGTTGGATTTCCGCATATCAGGAGGGGGTCTTGCTCAAGAGGTCCTCCGACTACTACATCAGCTGTACTTTTTCACTTCAGAGTGTGAGTCGAGCGTTTTTGAGCAACGCTGAGACCTTGACAGCGTTACTGACAGAAAATCAAGTGCAAGCAATTGTTAACGGCAGCCGGGGGCAAACAACATGGACTAAAGAGTCTCTGCATAATTCCTCTGACGAATCCAGTGACTTGGTTGATTCTAGCGACGAGGAGATCGGGGGGATTCTTACACCTAGAGATGTCGAGGATGATGAAAACCGCGGCATCTTCACCGAGGCGAACGATTTAGTTCTTTCTGTCAACTAATCGATCACAAGTCTTCTGAGGCTTTCAATCCAGGTGCACAAATCGTCACGCAAAGCCAAATTTGCCGAAACATCGAGGGAAACCAACTATTCAATTGGCCCCGACGTCAGTCATGTCCGCAACTTCTTTCCATATGCTTCGAGAAATGATATTCTAGTTGAAAAGCTGGGAAAAGCTGGGAAAACCACACGCACAAAGACGACGGCGGCTCCTGTATGCACGGCGCCATAGAGAAAAGCTCTCTGTCGACCTTTCTGGCGAAAAAGAGGAGCGTCATCCGTAGGTTGAGGCTATGGAATGTAGCAATACCAAACAATGATGCCCGACAGTAAGTAGAAGACTGATGATGTTGGAGCTTGAATTCCCCCCAAGCTAACACTACCAAGGAAACAAGTTCACACCGATCTGTCCTCCTACACTTGCGTCTAGGGAAGTTGTAATGAGATGTTCTTCGAATCCAGGCGCAAATGGTGGATGCACGAGATGGAAGCCCACAGGAAACAATGGACTTGCTTCCTATGTGGCTCCCATTAACCATCCTTAGCTAGCACGGTGACGCATATGCAGACGGAGCACTGTGAACAAGTCTCCCCCGAGCAGGTCGAGAGTGTTGCCCACAAATCCGGAAGGCCGCTTACCCATCTTGCCGCGTCCGACTGCCCTCTGTGTGACTATTCCGCTGTGCTCAGGTGTCGAGGCTACATGGACGAGGAAGTGGCACACGTCAGAGCTGAAAATTTGGCAGACACTTGGCCCGTCACTTAGATCAACTCGCATTATTTGCCCTTCCCCCTGCTGATCTGGCGTTTGAACACGAAGTTGTGTCGGAAGCTGGGTCTTTGGAGCATCGGGAGAGCGATCCAGACGAAGCCGAAAACGAAGCCACCGTCCAAATTCCCTCAGAGCCAGGCCTCGTCTATAAGCTCTTTGTTGAAGCAGATCTGCAGTTGAGACCGCCCGAAATCTTCTCGAATCCACCCGATTTGGCCATGCGATGGCAACCTCCACACGACTTGACACCCCCCAATGAATACTTTGATACCGAAGACGCAGATCTCCTCCCCCTACGACAAGAGCCTATCTTTGGCGGTGATCTTCATACGGCAGGCTGGGCGAGGGGATTCGGCCCCAGGAAAGACGGCTATTCCGCTCGTTGCCCTGTTGGACACTGAGTAAATATTCCAGATGGTAGCTACGGCTTCCACTTGACTTATTTCCACAGAGTTCCTGACTCCGGAGTTCCATTGCCGCGGCCATCGACTATTCAGCCAGTACAAAGACTGATTGGCGTATGGGAAGGTTTCTGCGAGGCTTGCGGAAAATGGAAGATCTTGAAAAAGACAAAGCGAGGATGGAATTGGTATAGGCATTGGCTGCAGGTAAGGAACACGTTCTCTACACCCACGACATAAATACCCACCAGCACCGGCAGGAGCATGCAGACATTTTGCGGGGGACAGAACAGAGGCGGTTCGAGGGGGCACTGCACCTCAAAATCTGCATATTCATACCAGTAGTGCATCCGCGTCGACTGAGCCGTCTCTCGCAAATGACCCTGAAGAGCTCGACAGAATACTAGGATCCAAGCCTGAACTAATAAGCGATGACACCCTCCATCGGTAGTCAGCTTACAATTTTTGCAAAAGAGGACATGCCTAGAGCAACGGAGACGCTTCTCCTGCGCTTGAAAGCTACTCGATCCATCACGGAAATGAGAATTTTGGCGAATACAAGAAGCACCGACGGTGAAAGCTTGCTCGTGATCTCAGCTGCGCAAAGTCAAGACCAGGTCGTCAAGCTTCTCCTTGATCTTGGGGCAGACCCTAACGCCACTGGGCCGGGGGACCAGACTGTGTTAGACCTCGCCGCCGACAGGGGTAATTTCTCGATAGCCCGGCAGCTCGTGAGCGGGGGAGCGGACACTTCCAGATCTTATATTTTCTAGGAAATCTTCTCCATCGACCGAAAGTACGCCGGTGAGATGACAAGTATTCTCAAACAAGTCACTCCATTGTCCAAGGTTAATCCGGCAGATCTCGGTGCTTTCAGCCGAGCCGCATTCCAAGGGGTTTTCGCCTCAGTCAGGACCTTCCTAGGCAGCGAAAAAAGGCTTCACTGCAATTCTCCGGGAGTCAATAGCAGGGCATCGAGAAGTGATGGATCTGCACTTGGCAAACGGAGCCAACATCAACGTTACGTCCAAGCATGGTTGGACCCCACTGATGCTAGCCACGAAACGGGAAGACGAAGAGGGTGTCGTATTTCTGCTCTTTGCGGGGTGCAGATGTCAATCACCTCTCGCCTGAGACGTGGACGGCGTTGGCGGAGGCTACAAGGCAAGGCTGCACAATATTATGAAGGTGACCCTGGATGCTGGCGCCGACCCTGAATTGAGGTCGCAACATGACTGGACCCCGTTAATGCACGCCGCGTACCGGGGCAATATCGATGCAGTAAACCTTCGCCTCGAGGCCGGCGCTTCCTCTGACGAGATCTGAACCCACGACGAAACAGTCATGCTCCTCACGGCCGCGGAGGACTCGCCGGCCATAGTCAAGCGACTCCTCGAAGCTGGCGGTCCCCCGGAGTCGGTGTGGTCAAGACTTGAAGTCTCAGATCCCCAGGGATTGAAGGTCCTAGACGAGGACGCTATGCTAACCGAAGAAAGTGAGACTCGACCTCAGCAGCAGCGAATTGAGAGTGCATTCAAAGTGGACTGGACGCCATTAATGGTGACGTGTCAGATGGGACATCTGGAGGTTGTCACCATGCTGGTCAATGCAGGGGCGAACCCGGCCCCCAAAGCCCTTTGTTTAAGACAGCTCTGGAAATTGCGAAAGAGAACGGCAGATTAGATGTGGTAGAATAGCTTGGTGAAGATCGAAGGCCAGGTAGTAAAGGCAATACGCTCTATATTGTAACAGAGCACTTTAGGGTTCGACGGGCATGTGCAAAAGCGCACAGGGGCCTGTCCAGCAGATCAGTAATCGAGACGGCCTTTCTGGTTGACGCCAGGACAGAACACCACCTCCGGTAAACAGAGGCGATGGCTAGGCTAGGTGGTGCCTAGCACGGTGGCGGCGGCAGTATACGGTGACAGAGGAAGACTGTAGAGATACTTAGGCGGCATCAGGACCATGACTACTCTGCTCCAAATGAATGTCTCGAATATCCAAGCACCATCTTGGTTGGCGCCGTCAGTGACATCAAGGGACGCTGAGTTGCCTGTTCTCACAAAACCTGTCATTCACAGCCAGAATGAAGCAAAGCCCTCTTTATAGACAATGTGACAATCCACAGCACAGCCGCGTTGCCTCCACCATAGCACCACAGCCATTTGAACTCGTTACAATCCCTTACTCACGCCGACCCGGTACACACTATAGAGTGCGATGGAAAGTGAATGGTTGTGAGCGCATCTATCTCGTTTCTGCGTTCGGCTGAAATTTTTGGCTTTTATTGCTCCTTCCGCATCGAGGCATGGACTATTTTCGCAATGGCCCATATTTTCTCTTCTTCGAATTTTCTCTCTACCAGCTGGACACCAATAGGCGCTCCGTCATAGATCTCAGGGTCATCTGCATTGGATGCTACTTGGATGACAGCTAAGGCGGACCACAAATGGAACCTACATCCTTCCCAGTTCAATCTGTCGGTCGCGTTCAAAGGTTGGTAACTATCGTCGAATACATCAATATTTTTATCGGCCTTTGCAATAGGAATGACTACAGCGCTGTAGTTCAGCAGGTTCAGTGCTTCGGTACAAGCTAGCCCGAATAGTTAGGTTCAGAAGATGGTAAACAGATTTTCGCGTCATACCAGTGTGGTAGTATTTTCCAGGGATGACGGCCGCGTGTGGTGCCACTGGCATGATGACTGCGTCGACAATCTGGCCTATAGGCAACCTTAGTGAACTGGATCTCCAGGTCTAAATGGACACATTCGCCGTCTTCCTCAGCAGTTGGATTCCAGTAGTCGGAATACTGGGTCTCGTACTCGAGGCCTTGAAGGGTCAAATCTTGGTACTCCAGCAGTCCCATAGGCGGCTTGAGACCGAATGCAGTGGCAAGATCGGGAATAAGTGGTTCGCCAGACAGATCAAGCTGGGCGTGGATATCATGGGCTCCGTCAGCCTTGAGGAAAGATACCTGTGAAGAACTTTGTTTAGCAGAGACTGGCTGAATAAGAAGAGGAATTTTGCACGACATACATGAACTCCTTTGGCGGTCGTTAGGTTGGGAGGCTCCCAACTGACTCCCTAAATATTGTCAGTGACGCCCTCAGCCCCTGTATGAGGTCCCCCTCAAAAAAGAAAAATAGGTGTGCCTGATTTGTACCTTGTGTCCTGCATTTCTGACTGCATCAACAACCACATGAAGACCGCGAGTGATGGGAGGCCGAGGTGTCACAATACCATCGGCCCAGAAGATCCCAAGCTTAAGGGCACATCCAGAAGCTTTTGCTGTTCCATCCCACTTCGCTCGAGAGAGGTACTCGTCCACTATCTCCTGACGGAAAGGAATGGGAACCACTGCTGGATCACGCAGCCATGGCTGTGTCGAAAGCACCGATTTGAGTGCCAGCTCCAATCCTCCGAGGGAGGTGCTCCTAAAACCTACTGTCGAGCGATAGGTGTTCTGCCCAGGATTGGTGTTTGCGACTTCTCGGTAGGGTATCCTCTCAGGGGTCAGCTTCAGAGAGAATATGCTGTTGAATGCCGCTGGAATGCGAACAGAGCCGCCAATATCGGTGCCCAGGCCGAGAGCGGTGCCGCGAAGTGCCTGTAAAGCGCCCTCTCCACCTGACGAGCCGCCGCAGGAAAGATTTTAGTTGTTTGGGTTGAGAGTTTGGCCAATGATATTATTCTTGGTTCGCCAAAGATGAATCTGGGGAAGACTTGTTTTCCAATAGAGCACTGCTCCCAGCCCTACTCACTCACTTACGATTTGACGTTGCACCTGATGCTTCTCATTGGGATCTTTGATACCAAGGTTGCTGCCAATCCATCCGATATAACCCATAGTAGTATGATTGCCCTTGACGTGAAGTTGATTCTTCAGACTTACGGGGAGGCCGTGGAGAGGTCCAATTCTTGCGTTGTGCTTCGAATAATAATCATCAAGGAATGCCGCACGCTCCAGCGACTGGTCGAAGAAGATTTCATGAAGGCAGTTGTTCTGGAGGTCCAACTCATGTCAGAACAGTACATCAAAGGTTGATGTCAAGACGTTGGTGATCCGAACTGACAATTTGATGTGCAATTGCTGCAGTCTTGCAAAACGCGGTGGTGACCTGAACTGCTGCGAGGGTTCCTTCTCGGATAGCATCCACGAGAGGCAAGCTGTCCATCGATACGATGGATATCTCCTCGGCGTTCAGGAATTGCTGTATAAAGAGCCCTGTCAAATCCCTTTCCCTTGCAACTCGCTCGATATCTTCTGGTCTCAGTCTCCACTGCGGCGGGATTTTCGACAGCGTGCTCGCCCGCTTATCAGCCGCCTTGGATTTCCATGAGGTGCTGTGCATAGTCATCGTCCCTGAGTAGATAGAAATAGGCAGCTAAGAGCTTAGCCTCTCACCGTGGATAGTTTAAGCCGTATAAGTAGAGACCCGTGAAGGTGTATAATACATCCGGGCAGCAGCCTTACAGGAACGTGAAATCAGGGCCTGGCGGCGCCTATTTACGCTCACAGTCGTACTTAGTACTCGCTCCGACCAGGACACGTCCTAAGTTGAGTGCCGGTTTGCACAGCCACAGTTCCAACCTCCTAACACAAACCCCAGGTTACACGGCGGGTGCTTTCCTTGGTAGGAAGTGTTAGCAATAGAGATGGAGGCTCACGTTTGACACTCAACCATGTCCCATGCATCTGCGATGTGACTCTGCGTCTCAGGACAAGGCATAGAAGGTTGCTAGCATCTTGAATGGAGAGCAGCCATGAGCAGCCATGAGCAGCCATGGCGGCAGCGGGCCAACCGAGTGTGCAGCCAGTCTCTTATTCCTATCAACATCAGCTACAACCCGGATCTCACACCTTTGCATATTTTGTCATCTCGGATCGTGTGCAATATTCTCCCTTCAGCACTTTCTCCTCAATGATAGATGACATCAGAGGGCGTCACCCAATCGCAAAATGGCGAACTCTCAGGCGATATCGACGGTTCCGTCACACTGCACCATTTATACTGGAACTGCCGAAGCGGGATGACTTGAAGCCAGGTCCCGTTGAGGCGAAAGGCATCAGAAATCTTGAACAAACGTCAAATCTTCGTTGACATCAAGAACTCGGCACATTGTGGATGCCACATTTTGTGCGCTGCTCCTAATCAACCGTTTCGTCATGGAACAGTCCAAACTGCAGCGCTTAGAATCAAACAGTATTGTTGGAACTGGGGCGCTGAAGGTGATCGAAGGTTTGATAAGCCCGCGTTTGAGTCGTCGAATAATGGTCTCGGGTCGTACGGAATTCAGACTTCAAGCTCATGAGGCGGGAAAGGTGGAAGCGATGGAGAACTGTCCTTTACTTCGACGAGATTCGTGTCTCTTCGTACCACTGACGAGTCAACCCGCTAGGTTTTCCTATCACAAACTCCCACATAACTTAGGCCATGAAACCCAATGACATGGCTATATCCGATGCTATTCAATGAAATCAAGATTTGAAGGCAGAACGCGGCAAAGAACCGCTCTCATATCCCCATCTCTATAATTGTCCCTTTCCCATTTCCACCACCACCGACGCCGCCTCTTCCCGGCTCCATCTCACAGCCCGGCGCGATAGATGTTCCACACATTGAGCATCCTTGCCCCCTGGCCCAGGGTAAAGCCCGTATAACACGAATCGCTCGAGTAGTCCATAAACTAATGAATTGTATCCTTATGAGCGGCCAGAGGACTAGGAATAAGACGGTTTGTTGCACATGGGGCTGAAGAGGGAAAAGGGGGTGTAGAACAAACGTACATTGTGTATCGGATCCACTCCTGAAAAACCCTGGGCTCCGTAAGGGTTCGCGCCTTGACTGGCCAGCCCGATATAAGCGGTGGACGAGACGCCGGAATTGGGGCAGGAGTCTTTGTAGACTGGACAGCCGTCTAGAGATGAGAAAAGAGCGGACGTCAGTGGTAGGGTATTACGGAGAAGGGAAGGAGTACACCGTATAGCCCAGCAACCACGAGACTGAAGCGGAAACGGGAAACCGGAGCGGACTTACTCGTGCTGGTCATCTCTTGCGGCGTGTCCGCCACGTAATCCCCCCAACTTCCACCATCACAACTATTGCCATTAAAGGTATGCAGCAGCCCATTCCAGTGACCCACCTCATGCGCCGTCGTCCCTCCCAGGTTGTACCCCTGCATATTTCCTCCGGGCATTGTCCCGCTCAGGACATTACACCCATCAACGACGTATACGTTGCGCGATGTCGTTGAAGTAACGCCGCCCGCTGGCAAAGAGCAGAAACCAAGTAGCGTGCTGCCGGCGGGCACCCCGGGGGTATTACTGCCAGCCTGTAAGAGAGACTGATAGTAGATATTTAGACTGGAGTACGTCCCCTGTCGAAGCGCCCGCTTCATGCCCAGGTCGTCGCCGTTGCTCGCCCACGTATCGTTCGTTGCTCTTGTGACGCCCGCTAAGCGGAACCCGATCGACGCGTTTGTGTAAGACCACGCGAGATAGATGAACTGGTTCTGAATCATGCTGTCGGTGACGTAGTTCGCTGAAGAAGGGGACGAGCTGGCAGCGTCGGATACAATATGCATATATGTATCAATCGTGTACAACGGAGTCAGGGTTTGACGGCGTTCATGGCTGGACGAATGATGAGCAACCAGGAGAGAGCTGTTCCAGAGCTCGTTTTCGAGTGGCTCGTGTTCGTGGAGATATTGATGTGTGGAAATGAGGCCTTCGGAGGGCGCAGTCGCGCCGCAGGAACGATGGATTGGTCGGTATCTAAGAACGGCGGCGAAGCCGAATGAGCAAAAATTCCCTATCATGGCTACTAATAACGAGAAGTAGGCCGAATGAGTGGGCAGTTTCCCAGTGAAGCAAAACATATTTGAACCCAGCAAGAGAAAGTCGCGATGCGACCAGAGAAACCCTGATGGCAGAATGCAGAATCGAAAAGCGTATGGCAAAAGCACGGATCACCATACCGAATTCACCACGGGGATCCCTTGGAATGTGTACCTTTCAGTCAAAATACCCACCAAGTCATGGTCATTCGTGGTGAGAACGGAGGTGGCCTTCGTTGACAACAAGTATTCCGTGTCCTTTGGGAATAGAGGCCCTCAGCCTTCTACCTGCACTGTTAGTTACGTTCGATAGAGCGACCACTTCGTTGTTGACCCCTTTTGGCTACGTTGGATGTGGCATGCATTTTGTATCAGACTGTGTCACTTTTCAATTCGGCTCGTAGAAAGAGGTTTGCGAAACAATAACTTCGGAAATGCACGGGCGCAATGCTGAGATAAGGATAAAAGGATGCCTGTGTCTTTGTAAAGCTGCACCAGTAGCTCCTCTCCCAGTAAGCCCTCCCAAATTCCATTCAACGCCGGCTCCGTGATATGACAGAAACACTATATCGCCCATGTTAGAAGAATCATACAATCTTGTCATATCGTTTCAGGATCCTCCTGGTCGAATATCGCGACCAGTTGCAAGGATTCCGGTAGCCGGAGCATCGTTGTTCCAGGACAGATACGTATGGTCGCCAAGTTTTCTGTCCCGTTAGCGATTTTCGGATTTGCTAGGACCGGACAGGTTGCTTACCTGGGTCTGATTAAATGCGCAAGAGTGAACAATGCGCCGAGCACGATGCACAAACCGCCAATAGCAACGTAGGCAATACCCAAGAAGGAGTTCTTGCCGCCGACCACCGTCCGTGTGGATATCAGGATGCTCTTGGTACCGTCATACACTGTGACAGGGAAAACTTTGCCAGATGTTAGAACAGCAATGACAATTCGCTGTCCACGCTACTCACAGTCATATATGTCCATTTGATAGATGCCGGCAGTCATGGTTTCATTGTCGTTGCGCAAGGCCAATTTACTGAACGTGGGCAGACCAGCTGTTCTCATCCAGACCTGGAACTCTTCATACTGCGATAAATCTGGGATAGGGTGTTCATCGGTATAATTCGGATATCGTTTGATCCAGTTGGGAGGCGGAGCGACTTGATCGTTGGTGTACTTCGTCTTCTTGTAAAGCGAGGCATCAGAGCCCCAGGCAATGTTTCGGTTTGTCATGGTGTAGTTTTGTGGGGGCGCATTTCCCCCGGCCGCATTCACAAGTCTCGGAGAATTCAGCGTGTCATTGAAGATGGAATTTGCGATGAGCCCGCATGGGTAGTAAGCCTTCCCTTCATGGTTCAACTTGAGCGGGTTGCAGGCACTGTTGCTGATCGTGTGGTTGCTCAGAGCCTGCCCTTTCAGTTGATCCGTATCGAGCGATTTCACATATCTCCGGTGATTTTGATAAAAGTTGGTTAGGCGATAATAGAGGTAAACCGGAGGACCAATATCGTTGGGGATAGAGAACTGAAGGGTGCAGACAGCAGTGTCGTCGATCGGGATGCTGAAAGGAGGGGTCGTCCTCCTCGTTTCTTGCTTCCACTGCGCTCTCACTGTGTTGTTTGAGTTTTTGAAGGACGAGTGGACTTTGGCTTCGGGAATCTGGGTGAAATCGTTCCCTGCGGTTGAAATGCAGTCGGTATAATCAATCCTCAGCTCTTGCACCTGAGAATCGCCTTAGTGTCCAGTCGGTCTATCTTTAATACCCAGTTCTACTCACACTTGCACTCGCCCACAGCAGGAGACCGCCGATAGGGGCAAAGATGATTCCGACGGCGAAGAAGAGTGGGAGGACGGTCTTGGGTGTCAGAATAGGCCTACAGGGTCAGTATGTCGCGCGGTACCGTCCGAAACGTACCGGACTCACTGCCATGCCTTCAATCTCTGCTGCCGAAACGCGGTGTCTGCATAGATGAATCCTCGTCAGCAAAACTGCGCATCGCGATAGTCCTCACCACAACGTACTTGCGGGGCGTCTGCTCTTCTGTTTCTTTGGAGGTTCGTTGTGAGGGTCTTCCTCATGTATGGAATCGGCGTGCTGGAGTTCGGTCCGCGTCATCTTGGCTCTGCTCTTTCCGCTCGATACAGAAAAGAGAGATGGAGAAGAGGGGACGGCGTCGAGGTCTCTTTTGAAACCGTCAAGGCACGACTGGGTGGCTGCACACTCAGCATCTGGGCACTGCATGCGCCATTCCGGGTCATCCTTCAGACTAAGCCTTTTTAGGTCTAGGTGACATTGTCACAGCCCCTGTTCAATCCCTTGTCATTTGATTCTTATATCAATTCTCCTCCGCCTCTGCACCCTCTTCATTCTTTCCCTTTTTCTTTCCTACATAACTCATTCACCGGACATGATTATTGTAGGAGCCAGGGTTGCACACTATTTGCATGCACAAATCTCTTTCTCCTCTGCTACGTGGTCCCAGAAAAAAGATCATGAATCATCGCGCCGTAGCTGGAGCCTACTACGAAAGAAAATTTCCATGATGCTTCGGTTCCCTTACCGACGGCCGCTACATTAACCCTTTTTACCGAGTCACAATGTTAGCCATGAAGTGGATGGTAACCCTCATTTCTGTTTGATATGGCTCTTGTTTTTCTACCGATGCTCGTCAATAGCCACCCCGCCCGGTTTCTATTTTAGTTGCTTAAGAAAATGTTTCCTGCCGAGCGAGGATCCTAGATAATCCACTAACAGAGTGCGGGCCGGACTCCAAAACACCTTCGCTATGTCGTTCCGGTATTGGTACAACCATCTATTTTCGTCATTGTTTTTCTCCTTTATCCCCGGCGGCCCAAGTACTTTCTTGTTTCGTTCCGGGCGGGAGCCATCCAGAGATGAAGTTGGGATCTTGTTGCCGACCCCGGCTATCATCCCTCTTCGGATGTGAGTCTGACATCTCGTTCACATAGTCCTCGTTCATTTGGGGTCCGTCAGGGTGACCTGGAGTCTTCACTTCGGCAACAGGTAGAAGTGGTGTGTGTTTGTGACGGAAATGATCGGCCCTGGTCCTTCTTTCCGCAGCGTCCTCCATACTAGTCCGATCATATAAATAAAGACCAAAACACGTGAGCGCAATGCCAACAACTTGGATGGACGTGGTCGAACTCCGGAACCAGATAATCGCGACAACGATAACCCATACCCTTTTGATTAATGAGGCCACCGAGTACGAAACTGGTGACAACATCGAGAGGAGGACAAATGCCATGATGTTCTGGAAAAAATGAAAGACTCCGTTGAAGACAAATTCCAAAGCTAGTTGCCCGTGATCCATTGCTCCTCTCTTTTCAGTGAGATCAATCGAGCCATCCTTCCACACATCTCGCGTAATCTCCAATCCTTCTGTGTAAATCCAGACTGGCGCCGAGAGCATGAAAGCCCCGACGGAGCAATAGCATAGGAGATTGAGTTTGTCCAATTTGCGGGGAAGATGTGTTTGGCCTTCGGCTTCAGCGCGAGCTGACTCGGTGAATAGCTTCTTCGAAAATATGTTCTGGGTCACAAAGACAATGGCTGCCACCAAGGAAGCACTGATCCCCCAAAAGTTTGTGGAAAAGTCGGTGGAACACGCCAACATGACCCCAACGGTGAGTGGGACAAGCGACAGATAGGTGGCTTGCTTGTAACGTATGCGGAACACCAATCGATACGCCAGCACGGTGAATAGTGGCGAGAGCCCTTTGATTGTGTGGACTAGAGACACTGGGATTTTGGAGGTAGCATAGGAACTTAAGAGGTGGCCGAGCAACTGAAAAATCGAAAGAGGAAATGCCGTGTACATGACGTCCCACGAGGGCCGGCGGAGGCCATTCTTCAGCGCAGGTATGGTTCTTTTTATTGATGGAAAAGTAGATGATAATCCTGTCAGGATCAAGCACCAGATGGAGACTGAGGCGAACTGTAGGATTGTGAGGGTGGCTGGTTTGGGAAAGGCGTTTAATATCGACTTGGAGGACGTGTTCGTCAATGCAGAGGTCATGTACCAGATGATGCATAGCGCCTGTCGTATGTTAGACCTGTTGAGAATGACACCACAGGTCACTCACTATCAGTTTGTAGGAAACTGGAGCTTTCAGCGCCTCAGCTAGCTCTTGCGCATTCTCACTGACACTCCCTTGTCTTGTCCGGATTCTGTGAATTGCATCGCTGACACTTCGTTTGGACCTATGGGTGTATACTCCTGCAGGCCGAGCATCACGCAGCCTCTGACTCATCTTTCTGGCCGGCCATTTAAACTCGCCATTGAGGTGCGGTGCCGGAGTGAGCTCTTGAGGGCTTTCTGCGACCACAGAGTTTAAGTGGAGGTTTGGAGGGGTACTGTGGTCAAATGAAGGGAATCTTTCATGACCGGATGTGTCGTTTGCGCCTTTCAAAGGGGACACAGACCGGTGGGTGAATATCCGGGGTTCAGGAGTCTGGGTCATTGTGGTGGTCATATTCGTTGCAGATGTGGTGGCGAGAGGGATTGGATTGAAAGAAAATCCACCTTTCTGCGCCGCATCTGCGAGTATGCTACTTCAAAGTGTCCTCGCGGTGTCCGCCATCTGTTTGAAGCGAGTGTGGCTTGTCGTGTGTTGGAGGGATTGTTCAGTGACTGGTGCAAGATTGGGAGTTCGCGATGCATGGAATCGTCAATGTCAATCTCGGACAAGCATGGGCAGGGATGTAATCCTCTCGCCGGTGCGCCATTGCGCGGCTAGATAACGCAAGCCCATCCTCGGATAAACTGCACACCGGATGTCGGCGCCGGATTAACTGGAGCTCCGGCTAGTGAGGCGTTGGAGGCCTCGTTATTTCAACTCACCTCGTCTCTTGTGCTTCAGAGGCAATCTAACGATATGTAATAGAATGAAGCTTGGGCAATTGCGAAGGATCTTGTCCTTGGTCATCCCCTGCCAGCTCATTTGCCTCTCCGCCGGCACATTCCAAGATGTGCTCTCGGTCGAAGATACCGTCAGCCAAAATCCGATCATCATCC